GGTCAACTAAACATGGGCATAGTAACAATATTTTTATACTACATTTATCCATTTTAAACACCTCACTCCTTTGTAATAACTAAGGCAAAAATGTAATTAATTCCGAAAATCTTTTCAGGACCCCACCTTGATGTTTCGGGACCCCACTTTGGGTCCCGACCCCAACTTTGGGAAACACTGATTTAGATTATCTTAAAAGTAAACCAAAATGGTTAAATGACTGGTTTAATTTTTGCTCTGAAATGTCTGAAATCTACATTTCTTAATTATCTTCCTCAGAAATTACAACTATCTTCCAAGTATCCTAAAATAAGTTGTATTCATTGTATTTTACTGTTGTAGTATTTTACTGCTAGTTACCCAGAAGTATTGATTTAAGCCTCCTATTTTCATAAAATTCAGGTTTTAAATATACTGTATTGGTTCTAAGTTAAACATTTAGTTCCACCAAATCTACCAGTCTTGGTAAAAAAAAATACAGCTAACCAGCAAGTTTTTATTTATTATTTTTTGTATTTTGCAAAAGAACAATATTTCTAGTTGCATTTTGTTCCTACAGGTAAATGACACACAAGTTGGTGCAGGTTTCCTGCAGTGTTTTAAATGTTGTGCAGCAAACGCTGTCAACACCTCCCGTCTCTGCTGCCTCCGAGACTAATTGCTCAGTTTTTTATTACACTTGGCAAGAATAAAACTCTGACTCTTGCTCTATGCTATGAAGTATAAAATGGCAGGGCCTATTGTAGGAATGAACTATTGTCTTCTACAACCAAAAAGCAAAAACAAGCATTACAAGCTTTGTTTAAATTATTCTTCTTTATTAAGAAAGCCTTGTTTTTTGCTGATTGTGCCTTTATGGATAAGGCTATTTGAACACTAAGCATATCTTTGTTTTCACCATATCAAAGATATTCTTTTTACTCAAAGCCTCTCATAGTTTCATTTTGCTGCCTTTTTTTATATATTTTTCCCTGCTAACTGGTAAAAAGTGTAATTTAATTATAACAGTAATTCTTGAATCAGGACATACTGTGCATGGAAACAAATTATCCACACTACAAATATACAGTAGTATGCAACAATCATTTTGGATTTTGCATTAATTCAAATACAACATGAGTGTTTAGCAGCAGATTTTACACTGAGAGTGATTAAAGACTATCAGAGGTTTAAAGTTGTGCTAGAATGGGTTCCTATTGAGAGCATTCATTCAATGTAATGAGTAAATGCTTGAAATTCAGTTATATTTGTTTATATTTAGGATGCAGCTGTTTTTCTATTTTTAAGCCACTTTAAGGTGCTAGATTATTATTTTTTTCCTTTAATCCCTGACTCACCCTTGTATGGTGGAAATGTGATCCCATTCCCATCCCAGACGGTGATCCAGGCGAGGGCACAGGAGAAGGGTTGGGGGAGGGGTGAAGGTTGGTTATCAGCATCATGTCATGGCCAATATCATTCTCCAGCTCATCAGGGAAGGGGAGATCAAACATGTCATCTGAGCAAGGAAACCGAAAATAAGCAGGTCAGAAGTAAGTTTTAAAAAAATTTAATTATTGCTTATTAGTATTTAAAAAAACAAATGTTATTTTTTTGGTGAGAAAGCATTTGGTGAGAGATATTTTAATAAAAAAAGTATGTGGGGCAAAATAGTGTTGATTCAAAAATGGCTTTAGTTTTGTTTGTCTTAAATAAAACGAACAACTTCTATAGCTTATGATTTTTTTTCACAAGTCATTACCGTTGTTGTCCTCTGTGGGGTAGGAGCTGGGTGCCAGCTGGGTCGTAGCAGAGGTTGGGAAGACTAGGATGTGTGTGCAGGAAGCATCCTGAGGCGTGTTCAGCTGCGACGTCTGCAGGTTCAGAGCAGTGCTGCGTCCAAACACAGACCCCATGGTCACTGCGTCTGAAAACAGGAGAAAAAAACAACAACATAGTAAGCATCAAGTTTTTAATTTGCTTCAGCTTCAAGGAGACAGATTATAGCCTCTTTATATTAGCTGTTAATGATATTACTATGTTCTCAAACAGTAATGCGTTAATATAAAAATGATTTTATGCATTTATATTTTCAAATAAAGGAATATGTGCTGTATATAATTTTATGTTAAACATCAAACTATGTTCTATAAGATCTATAAGATTATATAAATATATAAATATAGAGATGTATAAGAAGCTTCAAGGAAATCAGAAATGACAGGACTAAAATCATGTTTACGAAAAGTCACTTGTCGGCCATGACTTACAAATTGTAATGAGTTCCTTAATAGAGGCCCAAACTGCTGAAGTTTATTTGCTATTTCAACCTTTTAAATGTTTACATTTGGAATTTTTGACCATAATAATCACATTTTAAGTCTACAAAGAGTTCATCTTTTCAACCAAAGAGTGACTGATTTTATTTTATGCGTTTTAAAATCTCCACGGTGTTGTGTCAAATTTTTGTCCTCATAATTTCTGTTTTCCCCTGTTTTTATTTTTACTTTAAATAAATTGGATTTGCGACGTACCTGGCATGACCACAAAGGAGCCCTGCGGCTCCATGGCTACCAGACAGGCACTGAGGATGCTGGGAGAGTCAGCAGCTGAGATCCCACACATACGGCACGCCTCCCTCAGCTGGCGTCCTATAGACTGGAGCGAGTGCTCGCCAAGGAGAGACGTCCAGTCTGTTTAAAAGAGATGATGGAAAGTGTGTGTGTGAGTGAGAGGTAACAAAATAAACATGAAGCAGGGATTATCAAGCAGCTAAAACATAAAATAAACTCTTGGAAAGCAGTGCTACAAATGTCAGCTCCACTTCAGAAGAATTTAAAAGAAGGACTTATAAAAAGTAAGTGCTTTATCAGCAGTCAGCAAGTACTTATTTGATGCAAAAGGTAGAAATTTGCTTATTTACTAGTTTCAGTCTGAGCGTCAGTTTTAATTGCTTCTCCAATCCGAGAGTAGCAGAATGGACAAACTACTTGTATTTTAAAGGGGCATCAAATCCAATCTTATAAAAGAAAAATTGTCCATACTTGTCAGTTTTGAGGATTGTAAAATATATAAATGGATGGTAGGGAGCTGGTCAAGGCTAAAAAAAAGGAAATTATAACATGATTGGATGAGTGCAAAGACTAGTATTAGTTTAACTGAAACAGTGATTGTAAACACATTTTAATCCATATTACAGAGAAATTACTATATTTCAGCTAGCAGGCAGTTTTTTCCTCTGAACATGATCCATCACCAGACATAATTTACTCCTCTGTTACTATTCACCTTTTAACTCCCCGTGACCCAGCCTGCCTAATCGACCAATGACAATCCTCCACGGTAGTGAGGTCATTTGAATGATGCCGATGCACCACTCCCATAGTTTCTGTAGTCCCATCTTCCTAGCAGATACTTTGGGACGTCTGGATCTGAAATGAAATAAATAAATAATAAAAAAAATGTGAAGGTTGGTGCCAAATGTTTTTTGATATTTAGCCAAGAGATGTTCTAAATTTAAACAGGATCTTATCTGATTTTAGATCTCAATCATTGCTGACCTGTTGGGCACATCGATGTTGATGATGCAGGTCTCCAGGAGCTCCCCTTGTTGGTCAGTGCAGGACACCAGGATCCAGCGCTGGTCGTGGGACAGGCAGTACCCTACAAAAAGCACGTTGTATTTGGGAGGGGGCTCAGCCCATATCTCTCCTGGCTCTGGCTGCTTGGCTCGGGTCAGCCCAAGGATAAATGGGGGAGAATACAGCTGTAGAGGGGTGGGAAACTGTATCATGGCGGGGAGAGAAAAAACAAAGCAATATGTGAAATAAAGTCAATTAAAGGTGTTTTAAATCATACTAATGTCTCATGCTTACCTCTGGACCCTTAAGTACTGAAGTGACAGTGGATACTGGGCCAAAGCCAGTGAGGGACTTGATATGTGTTTGCTGGGGTAGCAGTCGTCTGCTTTGGGAATAACAAGAGAAGGCCAGGGAGCGCAGGTGTTGCAGATACAAATGGTTTTCTCCACTTGCTGGTTGGAGAAGATACTGGCAAGGCACCACCTAAAATACAAACACAGGATGGAAATGATTTTTTTTCTGCTTCTGTCTAGTTTACTGTAAACCAAACTCCATCCCTACCTGTAGGACCAGCGCAGGCCTCATCGCTTCAGGTAAATTCTGCAGCATCTCTGTGTAGCAGCGAAGAAGCCCAAGCAACCAAATGCTGCCTGACTCTACCTCTTCTCCCTCATCTTCTTCTCCCGTTTCATTTCTCTGCCCGCACGAAGTGATAAAAGCGTCCACGATGTAAATAACAATTGCTGGTGGGTTTGCGAGGCCGTCCGCTGAGTCAGCCACAGTGGGGATGCCAATTCTTGACTGCTCCGAGGAGCTGAGGATTAAAAAAAAACAAAAAGGTTTGCATGGGTTTAAACAACATTGACAGCGCTACCATGACCATGAGAGGTTTGTTCTTACAGTTCGGTGTTTTCTGCTGGTGTGTTCGCTGGTGGTGTGGAACTCTGAGGCCCTTTCGATTCCGTGGATCCGCCTTGGTTCGCCTCCCCCGTCTGGCCAGAGGTGGCTCCACTTGGGGTAGAAGCATTTGCTGTACCTGAAGCTTGTTCTCCATCAGCAGTCCAGGTTTGAGATTGAGGTTGCCCAGAAGAAGATGTGTTGTTCAAAGGAAGCTGAGCCTTAGGAGGCAACAAAAGACTGCTGTCCATCGTCAAAGTTGAGAGCTGAGGGCCTGAAAAAATAAAACAAAATGGTGTTAAAGTAGACAGATCATGCTTTTAAATCCCTATTCTTCACATTTAACTCATATAAAGGCTCTATATAAAGTGGAACTGCAATGCTTTTGGTCTGAATTCCTTCTCATTGTAACTCCACAAGCCCCTCTTTCACCTCTTTTCTAAGGTGTCTCAAAGCAACTCGTTTTGATGCTGTTCCTTTAAATCCAAATGAGGCGCTTTACATCCCGCCCACCTCCAGCTTCCAGACCAGTTCATTCTAGTTTCAAACTTTCATTTCTTAAAAATAAATTTTATTCTATGTACAATAAAAAGAAACAAAAATACAAATACAATGAAATGAAAGGCATGCCCCTTTTTTCCTCAAGTATAAATTAAAACAATAATAATATTCACTTAACAAAAAAAACCTCAAATCTTTCTAGAACAACTATTTATATGGATACATATTATATTGTTTCATATTTTTTCAACAATCCAACCTATCACTCTCTTAAACATGTACATTGATTTGGCACTTTTAAAAATCATTTTCCAGATTATTCCACGATTCCCTTGGATTGAGGTGCACAGTTCTTTCAAACTGGTTCTAAATTTAGATTTCATGAACATCTCTGTCCCCTTAAGTTTATAACAGCTCTCTTTTTTGTAAAGTTCTTTTTAAATTCTAGTTTGAAAGAGGGGTTTATGAGTAAATGGCTACACAGAAACTTTTTATTTACAAATTCATTAAAAGATGTCAACAATGGAAGACTTGTTCATCCAGGTATACATGTTGGAGCCAGAGTCTGACCCAGAGTGAGAGGAGAATGAAGACCACCAAATTGTAGTTGGTAAGTCCAAACCTTACTTAGTTCCATAACAAATAATTTGATGGAAGAGTTCCAAACGCTTCACAGAAATTAGATAAAACTGAATAATACGACCCAAGCTGAATACAAAGATATCTAGGCAGCACCTGGAGAGACCAAATTAAACTTTTCTTCACTTCTAGAGACTCCAAGTACAAAACAAAATGTATTTAATAGATAAAATGGATTTTGCATGTTTTGTCCCCTTTAATGTTTAAATAAAAAAGTAAAGTGGAATAAAGGTTTGGAAAGTCTGCTCAGTTAATCTTACCTAACTGCTGCTTGAAGGCATAAGCATAGAGTTTAAGTTTGCTGATGTTGTCAGTGTGTTGCTGTCCAGCCCATGGTCCTGTCATCCACTGATCCATGTCCAGCTCCTCCAGCTTCTCTGGCTCCACTTCCTCCCCAACACGCACAAAACCATCCTTGGAAACTTTAGACAATGGGCGGTGTTTCCCAAGACGACATGTCTGGAAATAAAGTTAACAAAACTCAGCATAATTTCAAGTTTCTGTCAGGTGTCTTTGATTCACATTACAGTCAAGTGGTTCTGATCTTACCTCATAGACAGCACTGAGCTCCTGGAAAAAGGCCCTGGCTGCCGCAAGCAGAGAGGTGCTATTTGGACACACCACAACATAAGCTACATCCCTCTGCCCTCCATAAGGTTCTAGGAGTAATTTCTCCCAGAAAGGTAATGCCAAAGGGGACAGCGCCAAGAAGTCCCGCTCTCGGTCATAGCCCAGCAATACTGTTGGAATGGGCAGCGGTTCTGGTGACTCCTCCGAACCTTTTGATTCATTCAAATTGAAACAATAGTCATTACCTCAAAAGTATTACAAGTAGATTTTAGTTATTGTTTGCAAAAAACATGTGTAAAAGAAGTGAGAACTCACCATAGGAACCACGTCCAGCCATTTTGTGGAACTGCTGCCAGGTGAGCGGACCTTGAACGTGCTGGATGTTGTCCCAGGTCCGTCCTGTCCTCTTTTTCTGGATGGCGTCCTGCAGGAAAGGCTGCAGAGACAGCAGCATCCGAACCATATCCTGCGACGACAGCCTGCTCATCTCCACCACTAAGGACACACGAGCACACAAAAGGGAGCATAAAAACATGCAAAAATGTTAAAGCTCTTTACATTAAAGAAACGAAAAACACAAAACTACCAAACGTATTGTATAGTTTTACAGATGAAAGCAGATAACCATGTATATGCATGTACAAGGTTTCTATTTTCAGGAATTAAACTCTAGCAGCCAAAAGGCATTTCTTACCATTAGTGTGAGGCCAAGAATGAAAAGCACTACTTCTGACAACAGCCAGGTCAACTTTCCCTCCCGTGGGGTTATCCACATACTGTAAGCTCTGCTCCAAAGCATTGTAACAGTCCACACAAGCATCACTCCCATCTGCCCACTGCTTTTCTGACATCCAGCTCTGAAGGAGTGCCCCCTTGCGCCCACGACAGGAGGAATTTTGGGGGAGATGAAGTGAAGCCAAAGAGGAAATAGGCTGAGAACACTGCTCCTGCAGCACAGTCATGACTGACGAGGAGGCCGAGCTCACACCCTGCAGTTGCTTGGCCCTGGAGTCCCCCACGGTTGGCTCCCGGCGGCACAGAGCAAGCCTCCTCTCAGCTGCCTGGCCTACTTCAGACGTTCGCCCGAATATATCCAGCTCGTCCTCCAGAAAGAGGCCCGTGCCGTGCGCTAGCCGCCTGTTCACGATGGCGCTGAAGCCGCACATGCAGCGGTACTGATCCTCGCAAGTGAAATCCGGGATGTACACGCCCACGTCAGCCCCTTTGACGTTCATGTTGCACGCGCAGATGCAGCAGCTGTCAAAGTTGCGGTCCTTGAAAACACTGAGGACCGAGTCTGAGAGCAGAAGGACCAGGTACAGGCTGTGGGCCTCGGGCAGAGAGGGTCCAGGCCGAGCGAGAGGCTCCACAGAGCTCAGAGGCAGGCTGGTGGAGGGAGTGGAGACCGGCGAGCTGAGCTCCGTGCCGTCCTGCTTCACCGAACCTTGTCCTGAACTTGCAGTATTAATCCCCCTGGGTGTGCGAGGAGTTCGCGGGGTGGGCACCGAAAAACGTGGTGTGGCAGGAGATGGCAGGATGCCAGTAGTGGTGCTCACAGAGGCAGTGGTTGCACTCATTTGGCCATAGTCCTGGTCTGTGAGGGTGTTGTTCCTGGGGAAAATATATTACAGGAAACAGTCAGACAAACTAGAACAGTTCATCTACTTGGTGAGCAGCTTTTAAAACTCACACTGCTTCTTGCATTCAAACAACTACTTCAGCTGATCAACCAAGAACTATCATTTTCATTATTAGTGACATAATATGTTGCTGTATTAACATTTTAGTCTAACACAGCAATTATTAAATTTACACGTCTTTAGATCAGAGATGAGCCACTGCCCATGGGTGACTTCCGTTTGACCCGCTAATAAGGACCCCACACCCCCACAAAAAATAATTATATATACATTTTTTACTGTAAAAAAAGCACATTGTAAGCATGTTAAACTGAAAAAATGTAAAAAATACAAAAAAAAAGAAATAAGACTCTTTAATTCCAGAAGCAGGTGCTTGACTGGCAGCACATTACTTACACTGCATTGCTAAATTCTAGAAATGTTGTTTACAGAATTTCAAGGCAAACCCATGTGTTCTGTCCGCTTAGAGATGTTGTCTGCCATGAAGGATTTTAATATGTCACCACCACAACACGTTGCACAAAGCTAAATATGAGAATTTTTATTGAAGTGGCAAGTGCATAAACAACAGCGACTTTTTAAAAGAACCACACAGGAGTCTGCACACCTTGTACCATTGAACTTCAGCTCACTAAAGTGAAAAACTGTTTATTTTTTTGTTTTTATACATACCTATTAAAAAATACTACAACTGTTATACATGATATTTTATTACATTTGGGAAAGTGTGCAGCACTGTGACTCTCTTGTAGTGTCCACTAAAATGCGTGACCCCCTTCCGTCATTTAGGTTGCCCATCCCTGCCTTAGATACTCACGTGTATCCATCCTTGTTGAAAGCAGGATTCTGTGGATGCATGATTGTCATAAAATGCTCCATTTTGGGCAGGAGGGCCCAGGATGGACGATAGTGACACTGATCTGGAATTTTGAGCGGTGGTAGATTCTGGCTGGGAAGACAAGATAGTGGAGCAAACATGGACGAGCCCATCTGTGGCTGGACAGAGAGGACAGTGTGTTAGTTGTTGTTTAATCAAACATCTCTCAGTAATTTCTCTGGTCAGTAGCAGCAGCTCAGTCATTCTTAGGTCGATATCTACCTTGATGTCATCCTGCCTGGGACTGACCGCACCTTCCTCCATCTCCATTCTGCTGTCACTGAGATGGGTGGAGGCCAGGGACGGCAGGTGGTCAAACACCCCACTGGGTGCAGGGGGCTCTTGACTCGGGGTGTCACGGTATGGCGTGATGGGAGAGAAAACAGGGTGCGGCTCCAGAGAAGGAGGGGTGGGGAACATTATCTGGAGATCTGCTACTGCTAAAAGGAGACAAACATCCAAAACATGTTAATAAAGGAGAGAAACAGAATGTATCATATTTTTTTCAATGAACAAAATCAACTAGTAATAAACATAGTAAAAAAGTATTTGTCAAAGAACACAATTTATTAAGAGTTTAAAATAATCCCTCACTTGTTGGGTAAGGTACACTGACTCTTCCTTCTTTTCCAATAGGACGATCCTCTGTTGACACCAGTAGTTTGGTTGACTGTTGGTTTGGGTAAACAGTCTATGAAGATTAAACAAGAAAATTATATATATTTTTCAAAAATTGTTGCAGTAAAATTACAAAAAGGTTTAAGAAATTAGGAATCCTTGAAGAAATGAATAACTCCCTCTGCATTGTAAGCTAAAGTTTTATACAAACTATGACCTGTTAGTGCTTGTACACTCTAAAAATGAAATGTTGGATTTACTTAACACTTACTTATGTGACCTGGTTCCACTTAACTGAGTTGAGTAAATTCAAAGCAACATGCTCATGTTCTTTGGRTAAAAAACTGGTATATTGCTTTGAATTTACTCAACTCAGTTAAGTGGAACCAGGTCACATAACATAGTTAAGTAAATCCAACATTTCATTTTTTACAGTGTAGTATGTGATGAAGATGACTCTCGGCTACTATCACAACAAATTTCAGCTCTATATCTGTAAAACTGACTGCATTAAAGCCATTTCTGTGTTTGCTAAGATCAGTTAGCTTAGGCTGCTATAATGAATCATGTTGACTCTTAAAGTGAAGCTGCAGATGTGCATCCAAAGATTACTTTCTGAGAGTGTCATTAAAATCTGTCCAATGGTTCATGAAATATTTTGCTAACAGACAAATAAGCACACATGCATGCACACAGACACAGGCACATGATCACCGTTCTTTCATGGCAGCCAGCAGATAATAAGGTACCCAATTCTGGCAGTTAAATTATAGTTTTGCAGAATCATGAATGTATTTTTCAATTCAAGTGAGCAAAAATGTAATACATAAACAGTGATACTTACCCCCAACTCTTCCTCATCTTCATCAAATATGTTGTCCAGATCAGAGATGTTGACGACCAGATCTTTCTCTCTGGTCAGAGAAGGATTAGTTTTGGCGGCGGCATCATCCTGACTTGAGTCATCTGAAACACATGAAGAAGATCAGGTCTTCAGATCCAGGACTCTGGAACCTGAACTGCACACATGTCTTCTGTAGCACATGTTGGTGTTGCTCATTTAGGTCCTAACCTGATTTAGGAGCAGAGTTAAAAATGGACATTGCATCTTTTCCATCAGGCAGGGAACCATTGCTTGTGATTTCTTCTCCCTGGGTGATGCATTTAAACAAAATATGAATATTTTAATCAACATTCATTACATTTTCCACAAAATAAAAAAAGACAAGAGACCCTCCATGTTGTGAATACAATGGGACTTTGAAAGAAAATATAAATCTATTTGGAAATTTCACCGATTTTGAGCATAAATTATTTTAAATATATGTACTGTATACTCTTGCGTGCGAGTCCTATGTGCAACGAAATACATGCAACATCAAATATGGCCACTTGGGAGCACTAGAGATTAAACATACATGTGACAAGAGCTTGAGTTACAAGAAACTTGCTAAAAATTTATAATTTGATAAAATGTCAAATCAAGAATCAAGTAATATGTCTGTCGTTACAAAAATAATAATAATAAAAAACGTTTATTTTAGCCGCAGTTACACATAAACTGAAAATTATAATTATTCTCTAACACAGACAGGGCTTCACATTTGTTTTGAATCTTCTTTAATATTTAGGGCTCATAAATAGTTTTTCACCCTACCTTGGCTTTCTTGCTGGGTTCTCGCCCAGAACTCTTTAACCTCTTGGAAGATGGAAAAGGGTACTCAATGTCCCCTTCCTTGAAGTCGTATGGATCATCCCCGTTTTCTCGTAGCGGCTCCGCCTCCGGTTGCTCGAACAATCCTAAAGTGTGGATGTGTTCCTTCATTCTCTCTTCCGAGATTTTAAATCTCTTGTGGGTCTGAGTGTAAAGTCTGGAGGAGACAAAGAGACAATCAGAGCTTTAATTTGTTATTTTACGACTGTCTTATAACATTTTTTTCACAGAAATTTACATATTACCCCTGCCTGACTACAAATTGTCAGTTTTAAAGGTTCATGTTTTCAGTCTAATGTGATATTTTTATAGGTGGCATTATTTTGAAAATAACTAGTTTTTGTCCTCCCCTCATTAACCTACCTCTTAAACAAAGCTCCATCAGTCGTTGTCTCGGTCTTCATGTCCTCTAGTTTATCTGTAGGAAGTTCAGGGGTTCGGAAGTCTGTCTTGTTAGTCCTGGGAGTCCTGAAACCTCTCCACCAGCCAAGCCCGTTCTCCCTCTGCCTCAGCAGTGTTGTATACACAGCGGTCTCACTGGTAATCATCCCCAGCCCTGAAGCCCCATCTGGACACACAGGCATATCCACAGGGACTTCTAGAACCTCCGGATCCTGTATCCGAGGATGCGGGCTGAGAGTGGGTGGAAGTGGCGACATGGGCGAATGAAGCAGAGATTCGGGGGGTTTTCTGCTGTTGGCGAGGGGCTTGGAATACTTGCAGCTTGGCAGAGAAGCCAGAGGCTCCACCGGTGGCTCAAGTGCCACAAGGCTGCCGAGCTGAGCCCCGCCAGGAGGGTCCTGTTCCAGGGGGGTCTCCTGCGTGGCCGACAAACGATGGTGAAAGGGAAACACAGCTGGCCTCTTGGACTGCTTGTCAGCCTTTTCTGCCTTGTCACTTGTCTTGTGTTTGGGCAGGGAGGAGGTAGGGTACAACGACGAGCCAGACGACAGTGCAGAGCTGGCACAAGTCTGAGGGTTGGCAGTGGACGTCGCAGACATACTGACCTTTTGCTGCTTTAACCTGCAACACACAAAAACAAATATATCTTAAACTTTTGCTCTGAAAAAAAATACCTTTAGAAGCATCATCAAAAGTTTTTTGTCTAAATGTATTTGTAGCTGCAGTTGAAGGCAACACTCATATAT